GATGCTGTAGTGGCGGCGCCGATGCGAAAGGCATGCCCGGAGGAGTATTTGGCTGGAATATTGGATCTAATTAGAACCTGACGGAAATGGTAGAGGAATCTGTTGCGAGTGGCGACGGCCCCGTGTTGCTCGTAAATAATGGGCCTTGGGGAGAAGCGTGGTTATTGTACCTTGAGGTGACGTAGTTTGATATTGGCTCTAACGGACTGAGAGCGGAGTCTAGGCGAAATATGAAATAGGCTGAGAAATGCCGAACTGATCCGTTTTACCTCTCTTTATCTTGAACATAAGTAGAATGAGATGTCGTCTAGGCTGGCGTGATGAGAAGAATTGTAATTAGCGGAGAGCGGAGTGAACTTGGAACATCTCGAGAAACCTAAAAAGGCCAATAGGAACACAGCTTCTAGAGTGGAATCCGTGGATGGAGAATGGTACCCTAATTGCAGCATCAAGACGCAGCCAGAGAGAAGGTCTGCAGTCAGAGGTAAACGTTTGGTCAGAGCGGGAGGTTCCTATTTACGTAAACCTTTCAGTAGTGTTTGCACGTCAGAATGGGAAATTGACAAGCACGGATATCTAGTGGCCAGTTTGACGAAGAGGTTGATTCCGCTGAGGTATCGAGGCTGGTCAAACGTGGTGTAGGGAATGGATGTACGAATTAAACCTCGTGGTGGAAACAACGTCGAGGGTCGGGAATGGCAATAGGAGGGCTGATTGGAATTTCTTGAATTGCTTCCGTCCTGCAAGGGATGAGGAAAGCGGGCATGGATCGAACCCGTTTAGAATGGCCTCTTGGGATAAAGCGGCGGATGGCTCAAGTTGTGGAGTCAGGGGTAGACGGTCACAGAAAACGGAGGAACTGGAGTGGGGTGCATGTCCGAGTGCGGTGCTAAGCGTCTGAATCTCTGCCAGGAGAAACGAGAAAGGGCGTAGGCGATGGCATTTTATAGTCGGGAATATGTGCAGCTTTGAGCATGAACTGGTGTTTTGTGGAAATTAGGATTAGTTTCCTGAGGAATGGCGTGAACGAGAGGGAGTGGGAACGGTCTTTGTTTACGATGTCTTCTGTGGTTGAGTTGTCATAATGTACGGTTATACATTTGGCGGCCCGTTCGTTACCCCAAATGAGGGAGGAAACGATGATGGGGTACGGTGAGGCGAACAGCGAAGTGATAGCGCCCCTTTCAGGAAACACCAAAGGAACCCCCAAAAACCGTGGGTCGAGTAGGACGACCTTAAGCATTTGTGATCGGCTTTAACCGACCAGTCGCCGCGAACAGCAAGGCGGATGAGTGGTGAGACGAAGGATAGTCAGTAAAGGGTTAACCGCTGTTAGGCAAGCAGCCCATCGGATTGCACGGAGAGACGTGCTTGAGTGTGAAGACAACAGATGGACGAAGTGCAGGCGAGGCGGAATGGTGGATTGTTAGACTGAAAGTCGTCCGAGAGCGTGAACCTTGCCACTGCGAGTGGCCATGAGGTGGGTACGGGTAGTATCCGTGAATGTTTACTGGCGAGGCAAAGTGCACCAATAAGCAAAGCGCTAGCGAAGCGCTAGTGGGCTGCACCACTGCGAGTGGCCGTGGGGTGGATACGCGTAGTGTCCGAGAATGTTTGCTGGCGAGGCAAAGTGCACCAATAACCGAAGCGCTAGCAAAGCGCTAGTGAGCTGCGCCACTGCAAGTGGCCTTGAGGTGGATATGCGTAGTATCCGTGAATGTTTGCTGGCGAGGCAAAGTGCACCCATAGTTAAGCACTAGCGAAACGCTAGACGCATGTGCACAGGGCAAAAGTTCAGCCTGCGAACATGGACGAAAAAAAGGGGACGAAAAGAGACCGAAGGGGTCGTGAACGGCGGGAGCAGGCACAGGAGGAACTGGCTGGCTTGCGGAACGAATGGCTTCTGCCGAATCTGGAGTGGAGAGGATGTCACCGAGCGTGATGACGTTCACGCTGGGGGCGCTGATGGCGGAACCCAGAGGAGCTGTGTGGTCTGCTGCAAGCTGACGGGGAGGATCAGCTGCGTTGCCAAGGGAGTCGGTGTATAATTTTTTAGCAGTCTGGCCTTGTTGTCGGAGTGGTGGAGGGGGATTTTCTTCTGCTTGAGTGTCCGATGGAGTCTGGCGACGGTCCAATGTGGAGCCTCGGGTGAGCCTGAAGTGCGAGCCGTGGTAAGCCTTGCTGGGGAGCCACGAGCTTTCACTTCCGGGCGCTGCGGCTGACGAGGGGCATTGCTTCTACGAGATGGTGCTGGAGTCCGTTGGCTGGACTTCCTGTGACTCGGAGCTCAAACGGGAGAATGGCCTAGGTGGTCACTGCGGGGGGAGCATCGGAGTCTTGGAAAAATTCTGCATCCGAGGGACTCAGTAGGATTTTGGATTCCATGCTTCGGGTAAGTCTTGCTGAGCGTTTTGGCTGTCTAGTTACGAGTAAACCACGTAGAAGTGAGACGAGTGGGGATTGTGGGAATATAGGTGGTATATACAGGCGTAAGGACGAATAGGAAGGTGCATTGGGAGTGGTCCTATTCATTAACCTATGTTATCGGGAACTCCCTTCAGGAATTGAATTTAACTTACTTATTAATGACTTATTATTAAAAATAAGTTCACTACCGTAATGCTGCCAATTAATTACCAGTTGTATTGCAATTCTGTTTCCGCACTCGATTCCTGGTCTGGACCATTACAAGGATCTTAATTTACATCACTGGTGTGCTCATATCTGCAATATGTTTGCTAAAATGTGCAAAACAGCATAATAAAAGCAGCTAAAGTGCTGTAAAAAAAAAAGTATTTGCCCCGTCCTGGTTTCTTCTATTTTAGCATTTCTGTCACATTTAAATGTTCCTGCTCATCAAGCTAATATTAATGTAGTTTCTCATGATAATTTCATTTATTGATGGGAAAAAGCTTTTTAACTTTACCTGACCCCATATGAAAACGTATTGTCCCCCTAGCTACTAAAGCAACCAGTTACACAAATTTAATTGATAATTGGGTTCAGTTTCACTGGTACCACCCAGGGATGATTTTTGCCAGCCCTGTTGAATCTAAACATCACTTAAATAGAACCTGTTGGCCAATGTGAAGTTGGCAAAAAGCAACACATGATGCCGCAATCTAAGAAAATTCAAGAGCAGATGAGAAATGGGGCGAAATTTCACCCCAGCAAAATCACAATTGTTTGATTACAGCCTGGCCAACCCAATTATTCATTTTTGGGGTCAATTATATTTTTGCATGCGTAATACCTCTTTACCTTCGATAAATGTAATGATCTCATAGAAGTTGCATTTTGTGTTCAATCACATTGTCTTTATCTTTTATTAAAATTAGTTTGATGATCTGAAACATTTCAATATGACAAAGAAGCAAAAATTGAGGAAATCTGGAAGGGGAAAAACAACTTTTTCATTTTCAGCAAAGTCAGTTTCATTGAAGGATATTTTCCATGATAAAAATGGAAAATATTCGGCTAAGTAACTCGCAATTTCAATAAAAAAATTCAATCATCTAATGTAGGTCCCTTTATATTTGCATAATTAACGTATTGAGATCTTAAGAATGTTACTTCCCACGACTGAGATTTATTTGTCTTTGTTCACGTTTATTATTCTAAAACATCAAAACGGATGATCTGCAAGCAGCATGTTAAATTGTTTGCGTGTATTCTTGTTGCTTGTTTACATGCGTGCTGTAATATCACCATGGAGTTCAAATGGAGCCCCATCGCTCGTGGACTTGGGTGCAATTGTACATTCTGGTATTTCCGCCCCTGATCATCACGTACTTGAATATCAACTATTGTTTAAATTTCTTTCACTTGCCACAGCCTTAATCTTAGCACGCTCACAAAACCCGCTCAGATCGAGTAGCCTGGACATTGAAACCAAGTGAGAGGATGTACAGTATAGCTACGTCAGCAAGCCAGTTTGCAATCCTGTGTATTAGGCATCTAAATGTGCGGTAACGCGACTGCAGCCTAGATAAACACTTCAAAATAGGCCATTGACTATCTATGAATTGGACAAAGCAGCAAACAGAGCATTTTAGTAGACTGGATCATGTTAGATTTAAGATTACGTGTTTCTTTCATTCCCCACTGGCTCAAAGTTGGTCAGGACATTTCTGCTTTGTCTGAAAGTTGGTCGGGAGTTACAAACAAGCAATGACTAATGAATCACTCAATGCTCATTGGCTACCTGCCAACATTGCCGGAAGAGTGTCAGTTTGAGAATGGGGAGGACTTGTCATCTACTGTAAGTGACTGAGAGTGGAATAATTGTTGATGCTTGAGTGGGTGGTTTGTGTATCTTAGCAACTGACCTCCTGGGACTTTCATTTTTTAGCCTCTGTAAATTACAGGGAATTTTGCGTATTACAAGAGACAAAAAAAGCAAAACAAAAAACAAAAAACATTCAGTGAGCTGCAGTTCTGCAGGCAAAATGCCTTGAGCATGAGGAGAGTGGCCGAACTGATTCAAGCTGATTGGAAGGTAACAGAAACTCAAATAACCATGTGTTACCACAGTGCAATGCAGTAGGGCATCTTTGAACTTCCAACAATTTTGAACCTTGAAGTGGATGGATCCACTCCAGTCACAGCAAAATACAAACCTGTAGCCACACTGGGCACAGGCTCAACAGAACTGGAATGTAGAAAACATCTCCTTGAATTAGGAATCAAAATTTTTGCTGTGACATGCAGAATGCAGGTTCAGAATTTGGTGTAAATACCATGAATCTATGCTTTGTGGTCTATGCTGCTATGTGTCAATAGTTCAGGGTGGTGGCGCTGGAATCGATTCAGAAAATATCTTCTTGGGAAACTACAAGCTCTTTAATAATGTTATCACATGACAGTGAATTCAGTGTACTCCAATGGCCTACAAGGATTTCACCAGATCAATCAAGCAGTCTTGGCATGTATGGGTCAGGAGATTCACGGCATGAATACAGCCTTGTGATGTTATCATGTAAATGTGGCAGGCCGAAGGAGGGCCCAGACGGGGGTTTGAACCCTAGACTCTTGGGTATGAGTCACACGCGCTGACCACATCACCAAAGAGCCAGGCTCGTTGGCAAGTTAGCCATGGCGCGTACTTATTAGGAGGCATGTCTAGTGACAGGTTCCATCAACTGTCACATCAAAATAGACCAAAATCACTGTGGAGTTTTTTTTGCACCTTGTTGAATCCAATTTGCTGTTCTGGGGGTAAAGGGGGTCCTTTCTTTTATTAAAAAGATGTACCTGATAAAGTAGACAATGAGTGTAATTTTCTATGTTGTTTCTTGAAAGGGGTGGGCTTTTTTCAGCCCCATTATATTGCAGAAATTATTCATCACTCCATGCATGTGTCCCTTTCTCGGTCACCATTGACTTTTGCAGTACAAATCAAAGCAGAGATGTTATAGAGAAAAGAGATACCACTTAAAGCATTTTGAATAGACAACTTGGTAATGCCAGAGATGCTTGTTGTATACAGTATACCACACCTTCCCCCTAAAAGTCTGCTTTATACAGCCGAACCAGGAAACCTGCAGTGCAGTAAAAAAAAAAAAAAAAAAAAAAGATTTTGCCTTTCGATACAAGATAAATATTCTACATGGATTGTGTTATGTGTAGTGACAGCCCGGCAGCTGGAACATTTTCTCTTGAAGTGATACAAGAGAAATGTGCTATATGAAGTGCACTACGTGATAAAATAGCCGGGCAGCTGTCTCAATTTCACTTAAAGCGGATTAAAGAGAAATATACTATATGATTGATGAGTATTATGAGAAGAGACATCTTGACAGCTGGTACTTCTTTTTAATAAATTAAAGTGTATGTGGTGGAGAAAGAGAATGCATGGTGCTGAGGAGTGACGCTTCGTGCCCTGCCTTTGTGCATAGAAAGGTGTTCTAAACGACGCATGAACCAGATGTAATTAAAGTGCAATCCAAATCCCGAAAAAGTTGGGATGCTGTGTAAATTGTAATAAAAACAGAATGCAATGATTTGCAAATCTCATAAACTGACATTTTTTCACAATAGAAAAGAAACAACATATCAGATGGTGAAAGTGAGACATTTAACCATTTTATGAAAAATATCAGCTCATTTTGAATTTGATAGCAGCAACACATCTCAAAAAATTTGGGCGAGGGGCAACAAAAGGCTGAGAAAAGTAACTGGCACTAAAAAACAGTTGAGCAACAGGTCAGTAACATGACTGGGTATAAAAAGAGCATTTTAGAGAGGCAGAGTCTCTCAGAAGTAAAGATGGGCAGAGGCTCACCAATCTGTGAAAAACTGAGTCTAAAAATTTCTGGAACAATTTCAGAAAAGTGTTCCTCAATGTAAAATTGCGAAGATTTTGAATGTCCCACCATCTACAGTACATGATATCATCAAAAGATTCAGATTATCTGGAGAAATCTCTTTGTGCTGTAAGACCCACACAGCTCGACCAACGATGGAAGAGCTGCGGTTGAAGGTTTATGTGTGTGGATTCCTGGTATTAGCACGCGTGACCTCCTGGCTGGTGTGAATCGCAATAAAATGGATCTATTTTCTCTGTTCGAAGAACAGGGCACAAAAGCACAACGGTTACAATTAATCTGACTCCATAATAAATTTATAATAATGAATTTAGTTATACTCTCGTTAAATATCTGACTCCAAATTAGAATTAGAATTAGAATCCATAATCTAGGGAAACCTGCGTGGGTCTCGAAGTGACTACACCTCGAACTCTTAGGAGACTACCGCCGTCGCTAAACATGTACTCCCGGGTTTTTAGTACTGTTACCGGATCCTAGGTTCGTCGATTAGAGGTTGGAAGTCAGCCATCACTGCAACAGCATCTTTTGGCGTGAATACAGCGAACCCAGATCTATGCACGCCCATGGGTTCCTTCAGGGAATTTTAGCAGATAACCGACTTTTCGTCCATGGGTTTCCTCAAGGCTAGAATCCCAGAACCGGCAATACACAAACCCTTTATGTAAGTAGATCATGATCATCTCTCCAACTTAATAAAACCAATTCCCATACCAGGCCGCTGGCCAGTCGTACCTTGGTCGGGATTATACCCCTAGGTATCCGTCGCAACGCGGCTAGAAAGAATAAAAGGATTAAGAGTCACGGAGACCACGCAAGTTTAAAGGAATAAAAATAATTTATTCACCAGGTAGGCAAGAGCTTAAATCAACAGACCAAATATCAGTTACCACGAATTTAGACCAATATAAAAGTCATACCTGGCGACAGCTACACACACAGAGTTGGGTGAGTGCGAAATCAGAGAGACGATCCGCCATAGCTATAGAGTCTGCTCACGCACTTACGTGCACGGGGAGAGATTGGATACAATCTTCCCAGAATGGATTGTTTCTCTTTCCTTTAAGCCAAACTACGTCTTTGATCCAGGCGGCATGGCCATAAACACCTGGAAGGGAGGTCGAATCCGGTTTTTTGGGTTTCCACCATTGGAAGGATGTAATAAAACACTTCAGCAGAGAGAGGAGAATAGGGTGATTACCAGAGAGGATTCTGACCAAATTCTCAGGAGTTTCCAAAAGGGAATGAACCATAATTTCAATGGGAATGAAACATACTCCATTCAACTCCTTGGATTCCCCCGAGAATAACAAGACCAAACATGATATGAATATGTACTAATATGATGCAGTTGTCATGTAAAAGTCTTAAGATTAATTAATATATAGTTTAATTGGGTTATAAGTATATAAGTGATTTCTTAACAGGATATTGAACATATAAACATATTATGAAATTCCCAGAGATTTAGATTATTTTAAACAGATTAATATAACTGGACTTAAGACTGAGGATAGTAGAACAGGGGCATTGTCTCAGCCAGGGCTTTGCAACTACCCCCCCCGTACAGAGTAACAGAAAGATCACCGACACCTTCCACATGCAGGCTGCAGGAACATCCTAGGGGGAAGGCCATAAAAGTTCTATTGCTATTTGGCCTGGCTCTGGACCGAGCTTATCAGCCATTTGTCACTTATATTTCCAGATTCTACAGTGCCAGGGACAAGGCCGAAAGTCAATATTGGATGCTTGTGATTTTCGGGCCCTCAGGCAACACTGCATTGAAAACAGGCATAATTCTGCACTGGAATTTACTGCAAGGGCTCAGGAACACTTCCAGAAATCATTTTCTGTGAACACAGTTCACCATGCAATGTACCAATGCAGGCTAAAGCTATATCATGCAAAGGAGAAGCCATATGTGAATGTGATCCAGAAATGCCGCCGTCTGGGCCAAAGCTCATTTAAAATGGACTGAGGCAAAATGGAAAACTGTTCTGTGGTCAGATGAATCAAAATTTGAAATTCTTTTTGGAAACCACAGACACCATATTGTGCGGACTGAAGAGGAGAGAGACCATCCAGCTTGTTGTCAGCGCTCAGTTCAAAAGTTTACACCTCTGATGGTATGGGGTTTCATTAGTGCCTATGGCATGGGCAGCTTACACATCTGGATAGGCATTATCAATGCTGAAAAGTACATAGAGGTTTTACAACAACGTCTCTTTCAGGGAAGGCCTTGCATATTTCAGCAGAACAATGCTAACCCACATACTGCATTCATCACAACAGCAAGGCTTTGCAGTGGAAGAGTCTGAGTGCTGAACTAGCCTACCTGAAGTCCAGACCATTCACTAATAGGAGACATTTGGCGCATCATAAAACACAAAATCTGGCTTAGAAGACCCAGGACTGTTGAGTAGCTAGAACCCTACATCTGACAAGAATGGGGCAACATTCCACTCCCAAAACTTCAGCTTTTGGTCTCCTCACCTCCCAGACATTTACAGACTGTTGTTAAAAGAAGAAGGGATACTAAACAATGGTAAACATGGCCCTATCCCAACTTTTTTGAGATGTGTTGCTGCCATCAAGTTCAAAATGATCTAATATTTTTCATGAAAGGGTAAAATGTCTCTTTCAACATCTGACATGTTGTCTATGTTCTTGTTGTGTTTTCCCGGTGTCTCTTTCATGTATTTGCTTTGTTTCTAGCAATGTTGTGTTTGTTTATTTCAATTGTTCCTGTCTGGTCTAACAGCCTGACTACTCCTCTTCAGTCCATGTTTCATTTCATGTTTTTGTCATCTACTTATCTTGTGCTTCATCACCGCATTCAGGATTGGCATTTGTTATTTCCTCACTTCCTTCCCAGCTGTTCTATATTTGGGCCTTCTCTAAGCTTGAGCGATCAATTGATTTTTATTAGCACTAATTACTAACCCCATTACTAACAATGCACGGGAGGGTATTTTATTAGATAGGCACTTACTAATCACTACTAAATTAGGACATGGACTGGTTTAAGTTCCTGCGTTCGCTATTTCTAGATCTCTGTACTATTCTGTGCAAAATTTCACTTCCTCGCTTTCCCTTAATCTTGTATTGGTACTCCTATGCTGAACACGCTCAGTAGTCTTAATGAGCTTGTCATTTGTTAATTGGTTAGTTTTTGTCTGAGTCCGCGTTTCCATTGTGTTTCCCCATGTCTTGTTAGCATGTGCTTTTCTCCTCGTGTGCAGCCCAGGTGTCCCTCGTTCCTGTGATCCCGCCCCCTTGCCTATATCTGGGAGAGGCTGGAGGAAGGCTGCAGACGGAACCTTTTGTTGTTTCCCATGTCTCAGGCTTTGTCTTCCTTGTCTTTATGAGTTTTTGTTGTTTCCCATGTCTCAAGCTTTGTCTTCCTTGTCTTCATGAGTTTTTGTTGTTTCCCCATGTTGTTTCCCTTGTCTTGAGCTTTGTCGTGATGGCCTGTTGTCTACCACTTTGTCTTCCATGATGTCGCCATGAACCTGTTGTCTTCATGACCAGTTTACCATGTTGTCTTCATGACCTGTGGTCTACCATGTTGTCTCCAAGAACGTGTTTGCGCCCTGTTTTTATTGTGTTTGTAAATAAATAGTCATCGTGTATTTCCATCTTGCGCCTGGCATCTTCCATGCCAAACTCTAACAGTTCTATTATGAATAAAATGTGAGTTTATGAGATTTGCAAATCATTGCATTCTGTTTTTATTTACAATTTACA